AGCAGGAACAAAGAGTGAGGTTTAGACCCGTTCACTGCTCTCCTTTCCCTGGGAGGGATTGGGGCTCTTCGCAGCTAAGGAGGACTTAAGGGCAGGACCTGGGCCCCCCTCTCAACTCCTGCTCAGACAGATGGACCCTGAAACTCCAACCGTGGTCACACAGGCAATTTTTGGAGTTGGATGGCTGGGGCAATTGGATGCAGTGTTGTGGGGCAGAGGGGGCAGAGGGGGCAGAGCAGGGCATGGGCCAGGAATCTAGGGAAGAGGGGCCCTGTTTTTACTTGTTCCTGGTCAGTGAACGTTTGTGCACCTGTGTGACCAAGTGTATATATGTGTGCCTGCATGTGAGGCCTCGCTCCATGCCACTGGGTGTCTGTGGGCCAATGGGGCTGCGTAGATGTCTGTGCCCGTGAGCCCTTCGCTGACAGCTTGTCTGCATGTGTCTGTCTAACCATCTGGAGTAGAAGTTGGCAGGAGCGGGGGTGTTGGGAGCCTACACCTCGTCCTCAAGCCCTCTTCTTCAAATCTGGGTATTTCCTTAGCAATGAAAAGCCAAGGTCTCCCTGAGGGAAAGGAGAGAGGCGAGCAGGTGGAAACTTCTGTATGAGCTGTGGGCAGATGGCTCTCTCTGGGCATGACCAGCTGAGATCTGATAGGTGGAAGGTCCCGACAGGCCAGGGTAAGGGTGTGCTGGCCTGGTGGTTGGTGTGGCGGAAGACGCTGTGTGGTCCCAACCGTCTGGAAAGTGCGTCTGTTGGAGAGGGGCATCCTGTCCAGGTTCCCCAGTGTGGAGAAGAGAGGACACAGACCAGTGAGTCCCCACCTGTCCTCTGTCCTCCCATATATATGTGCTCCCTTGCCTTCTCCTGGCAAGGGGTTTCCTGGGGCATGCCCTGGAATGCCCACTGCCAGTCCATGGATAAGAGCAGCCCCTGAGAGAAGGAGGGAGATGATAAAGGCCCCCCAAGCATCTGGGACCTTAGAGGAGCCTGAACGAGGTTATTCTCTGCACACATGTTTTGAGCCTGCAATGGGCCCCATGCTGAGCCAGGGGCTAGGGACACAGACATGGTCCCTGCCCACACGGGAGTCAGTAGGGTTCCCCTGGAGTCCCCACAAGCCTGGCTGACATCCCAGTGTGTGTCGGGACAGCCAACCCTGCAGTCCCAGGTGGAGAGCCCCCTGCCTGCCAGGTGGGGGGTGGACACTCCAGGAGCAGCTCCTCCAGCCGCCAGCGCTGCAGCGATGGGGTGGGCTGGGAGTGGGCCTCGGGTGGGGGAGGCAGAGATGTGTGTTTTCATTTCCTGGGCCACCAGAATAGTATCCTGGAATCACAGGGGAGGCCGTGGGGCCCCAAGGACACATTCGCCAGCCTCCTCCACAGAGTTACACCCTGGGCTGTTCCCTTACCTGCTGCTGCTCGGGTACAATCCCAGGCTGCTGTTGCCCCAGCGTGCCAGGTGATGCCCAATGCCTCTCACACCCCTCACAGCTCAGGCTACAGACAGCCCTGGGCGGCAGCGATTGTGGTCTCATCATCTGATGTCACACATGAGGTGACTCAGGCTGGGAGAGGCAGAGCCAGGACTGAAACCCACGTGGGCCCAAAGGCTTTGCCGTGGCCGCATTCTTCACAACCAGGGGCTTCACCATGGGTTTCTTGGCCTCTGCTGACAGGGACTGAGTTCGGAAGCCTCAGGAGCTGCGTCGACGGAGGGGGAGGCTGGGATGTTAGAGGAGAGGTTGACTTTGGGAGGCACAGGCAGAGCAAGTCCAGGCCTTGAGGCTTCTCTCTCTCTGACGAGCCTGAAGGCGTCCTGGGAGGAGGAGGGAAGGCTATCGTCAGGAGCTATTAGAGGATTAGAGAGAAATGGCTTGGCCTGGGAGGGGGAGTTGCTGGAGTGAAGTCCGGGGACTCTAGCTGCCCTGGAGACTCTAGCTGGCCTGGGATTGGAGGGGTGGGTCTTCTCCAGGCGGAGAGGCTCCCTCTGCTGGAAAACATGCTCCAACCTGGAACCCAGGAATTACCATGGGTTCCGCCAGATCCACCCAGCAAGGACAGAGGGGCAAAGCGAACCACAGAGGGCTAGTTCCCTGGCCTTGGAGGTACGGTGGTCGCCCCTGAGCAGGGTGGAGGTGGAGGGAGATGCTCAAAGAATCCGAGGAGCCCTGACTGTAGGCAGATGCCACGTGCTGCAGTGGAATGAGCACAGGCTTTGGAATCTCACAGATGAGCTCCAAGCACTGCTTTGCCACTTACCAACTAGTGACACTGGGCAAGTTGCCTAACCTTCATAGCCTCAATTTCCTCAACTGCAAAATAGAAAAGCTGTGCAGATTAAGTAAGAAAATGGAGGCCAGGCTGGGAGGCTTATGCCTGTAATCCCAGCACCTGGGGAGGCCAAGGCGGGCGGATCACCTGAGGTCAGGAGTTTGAGACCAGGCCGGCCAACATGGTGAAACCTCCTCTCTACTAAAAATACAAAAATTAGCAAGGCATAGTGGCATATGCCTGTAATCCCAGCTACCTGGGAGGTGGAAGTTACAGTGAGCTGAGATCAAGCCACTGCACTCCAGCCTGGATGACAGAGATGAGACTCCATCTCAGAAAAAAAAGAAGAAAAGAAGAAAAGAAAATGGGCCAGGCATAGTGGCTCATGTGGTGGCACACAGATCGCTTGAGGTCATGAATTCGAGACCAGTCTGGCCAAGCTGGTGAAACCCCGTCTCTACTAAAAACACAAATTGACCAGGCATGGTGGCAGACATCTGTAATCCCAGCTACTCGGGAGGCTGAAGCAGGAGAATCGCTTGAGTCCAGAAGGTGGAGGTTGCCGTGAACCTCCCCTCCAATCCCCGGCTGTCTCCAGGGCAGCTAGAGTCCCCGAGATCATGCCACTGCACTCCAGCCTGGGTGACATAGGGGAGATTCCATCTTAAGAAAAAAAAAAAGAAAGGCCGGGCGCGGTGGCTCAAGCCTGTAATCCCAGCACTTTGGGAGGCCGAGGCAGGTGGATCACGAGGTCGAGAGATCGAGACCATCCTGGTCAACATGGTGAAACCCCGTCTCTACTAAAATTACAAAAAACTAGCTGGGCGTGGTGGCGCGTGCCTGTAATCCCAGCTACTTAGGAGGCTGAGGCAGGAGAATTGCCTGAGCCCAGGAGGCGGAGGTTGCGGTGAGCGGAGATCGTGCCATTGCACTCCAGCCTGGGTAACAAGCGAAACTCCGTCTCAAAAAAAAAAAAAAAAAAAAAAAAAAAAAAAGAAAAGAAAAGAAAAAAAAAGAAAGAAAGAAAAGAGACATTAGATAAAACTTAAGGAAATCTGGGCGGGGTGCAGAGTAGCTCATGCCTATAATCCCAGCACTTTGGGAGACCGAGGCGAGTAGCTCATTTGAGGTCAGAAGTTGGAGACCAGCCTGGCCAACATGGTGAAACTCCATCTCTACTAAAAGTACAAAAATTGGCCAGGCATGGTGGTACATGCGTGCAATCCCAGCTACTTGGGAGTCTGAGGCAGGACAATCACTTGAACCTGGTAAGGTTGAATAGCTTGAATATAGCAGAGGTTGCAGGGAGCTGAGTTTATGCCACCGCACTATAGCCTGGGCAACAGAACAACAACAACAAAAATGTAAGGAAATCTGAAGAAATCTGTTCAGTCCTTTTCTGGAGAACGCTACTGTGTTCTTCCCAGGGATGCTCCAGTGCAGGTAGGGTGGGGGGCGTTAGTGTTAAAAGCCTGGAGGCCACACTGGATGGCTAGATCTCAATCTTCAGCTCTGCCAGTGTCTAGCTGTGGGGCCTAGGCAATTTCTTAGCTTCTCTGTGCCTCCTGTCCTCAAAGATAAAACCCTCAGAATTACTGGGAGGGTTACATGTGTTACTATAAATAGTAAGCACCTTATAAGTGGTTGCTATCATTATTGTGAACATACAAACAAATATATTTACACAACAAATGTATTGAGAAAAATATCCAAAACCTGAAAATAAGACAAAAAAAAAAAAAAAGTTAGTGCCCTTTCAAAGATATTTTAGATCATTGGCCCACCTATGGGTCATCTAGGGGAAGTTAACTTTGTTTGACATGCTATTAGTATTTACTAACAGTAAGGACCCAGGCTGTCCAAAAGAACAAATTAACATGTTAAAGATTGATAAGTGACAAATTATTTTGGTCTAGTAGAAAAAAATGGGGCCGGGCGAGGTGGCTCATGCTTGTAATCCCAGCACTTTAGGAGGCTGAGGTGGGCAGATCACAAGGTCAAGAGATCAAGACCATCCTGGCCAACATGGTGAAACCCCATCTCTACTAAAAATACAAAAAAATTTGCCAGGTGTGGTGGCGTGTGCCTGTAATCCCAGCTATTTGGGAGGTTGAGGCAGGAGAATCACTTGAACCCAGGAGGTAGAGGTTGCAGTAAGCCGGGATCATCCCACTGCTCTCCAGCCTGGCAACAGAGTGAGACTCCATCTCAAAAAAGAAAAAAAAATGGTTATGGTTTTATTTCCAGGTGTGAATGAACTTTTTTGTGCCTAACTTTGCAATCTTATTCTAACATTCATTTTTTCACTGCTTGTCAGTAATGGCTTTTCATTTCCTTTTTTGATCCGTCCTGCTGGTTCACTTATTATTATTATTATTATTTTGAGGCACAGTTTCGCTCTTGTTACCCAGGCTGGAGTGCAATGGCACGATCTCGGCTCACTGCAACCTCCGCCTCCTGGGTTCAGGCAATTCTCCTGCCTCAGCCTCCTGAGTAGCTGGGATTACAGGCACGTGCCACCATGCCCAGCTAATTTTTTTGTATTTTTAGTAGAGATGGGTTTTCACCATGTTGACCAGGATGGTCTCGATCTCTTGACCTCGTGATCCACCCGCCTCGGCCTCCCAAAGTGTTGGGATTACAGGCTTGAGCCACCGCGCCCGGCCTGGTTCACTTATTAAGTAGTTAAATAAATCTTGGTACGCACTATATATTTGTCTTAGTCATGTTTATCTTCGTGAAAATTTTACTTGGACAGGTAATAATACACCATACACGCTGTTCCACTCCTCAGTTACTTTTACCTTATACATCTTGAGGGCAGTTTCATATAAGAATATAAACAGCTTCCTTAGTCTTATTTTAGAATGCGCTGTAGAGCATGCACTGCAGGGGTGTACAGCAATTACATCCATAATCCATCTAGCCAGTCCCTTATTGATGGACACTTTGCTTGTTTCCACTCTTTCACTCCTGCAAACAATGCTGGAATGAATGGCCTTGTATATGGGTGGAGAGCAGATTTACTTAGGCAGAGGTGGATGGGGAGGCAGGAGATGCTCCAGAGGGGAGAGAAGCCTGGGGAGGGGCCTGATGACCTGTTTCCAGCCTGTCCTAGCCCATCTTCTCCTACTTCTGGGTCATTCTGTTCTCCTCCTGCTTCCTCTTCTCCATCCTGAGCTCCTGGTATCGCCAGAGAGGAAGGGCCAGGCTTTGATGTCGTGCAGGACTGGGCTTTGGCTGGCACTGGTGGGGGGATGAGGACGCCTTGGAGAGGAGGATCTTGGGGACTTGGGGCCTGGGGCTGGTGCTATCCCTGGGCTGTAGCCACTGAGGGCACTTGCTCAATATGCCCTGAGGGCTCTGGTAAGGAACGAAGACCCAGGGGGACCTCTGGGGATTCCCTGGCAGGGACTGGGGGACCAGGGGAGGGGGCGGGGCAGTACCTAGCAGCTCTGGCACGGACTTGCTTCGGGTGCCCAGGGAAGGTGGGTGGTCAGGGCACAGAGTGTGGCAGGCAGTGGCGAGGAAAGGACTGGCCAAGCTGGTCGTGGCAGTCACAAGGTGGTCCAGAACGCCCCCCTCCTGAGGGGACGGGGCAAAGGGGAGGCTCAAGGTAGCCTGCAGCCGCTCTAGGAGTGAAGGGGCAACCTGGGCCTGGGCCTGAGCCTGGGCCACGAGCCTGGGCAAGGCGGGCCACTCGGGCTGGTAGTGCTGGCTAAGCTGCTCCACTCGAGGCCGCCGCTGCAGCTGCCGAATCCTCCACACCGTGTCGAAGCTGTCGGTCAGCACCGCCCATTCCAGAGCCGTCTTGCCCCGAACAGGGTCCACCGCTGTCAGGTCAGCACCTGGGAGTGGGGACAGGGGGTGACAAGGATGGGATAGGAAGGGCAGATGCTTTAGCTGCAAGACTGGTGTGGGTTACATTCAAAGCCACAGAGTCCCATCCTGTTGAAAGTGGAATCTGGGAGGCCAGTATTGCAACCTGCTGTTTAAGAGAGATGGAGACACTTAGGTCCAGAGAGGCGAAAAGACTCTGGAGAGACCTAATGTGGGCCTCCAGCTGTGGCAGAACAGGGATCTCCTGAATCCAAGGAGCTGAGCAGAGCAGTGGAGGCTGCCCAGGACAGGGGAGGCTGAGCTGCCCGCTCTGGGGCAGGCGGGTGGGGGTGGTCTGCTGGTTCCCTCTCCTGGTTCTTCTCTTCTCACCATCTCCCTCGCCCATCTTGGGGTTGTGAGAGGAGCAGTCATCCTGAGACAAAGGAAGGGGTGTAGAGCGCCCTCCTTTTTCATTCACTCCTTTTTCACTCCAAACCCAGTGGTGTGGGGTGGGGAAGGGAAAAGTGGAGACGGGGGTCCCCCAGAGTGACCAGCAGAGGGCGACCCCACTGCAGGGAAGGAGGGCCCCCAAACATCCCATGGACAATGTGGACTTCACCCCACCACCCCCTGAACAACCCCACGGAGCCACAGGCCTCAATGACATTTCCCTGGGTCCCCTGGAAGCCTGGCTTGTCACGGTTGGAGGTCATCCCGGGGAAAGCTAACATCCTCACAATACTGGTGAGGCCCAAGAGGGAAGCCACTCAGGAGCGTCGGCTGGTTCTAGATGCCAGCCTTTTGTCGTGTTAGGTTTTCCAACTAGGCTAGGTTCCCCTCCCACGCTTTCCTTCCTGGGACCTCCACTCGCAATTTCTGAGCTCTCAGTATCTAAACTTTATTGATTGCATGAAGCCCAAAGCACGCTCTCCACCTCCAGGAAGTTGAACTAGATTGATCATCCATCTCCACCTCTCTCCTCTCTGCAAACAATAATGGCGGGGTTGGAGGAGGGACTGGAGGCCACACAGCCTGGCCCAGGCCCCACACACCTGCCATGAGGAGGGCAGCCACGCACTCACAGCGGTTCCGCATGGCAGCCTTCATTAACGCTGTGAGCCCCCGCTGGTCCCGGCGTTCCAGGTCCAGGCCCGCATAGTAGTTGAGCAGGAGACTCACCAGAGGCATATGACCTGCACAGGGCATCAAGGGTAAGCTTGGTCCTGGGAAAGGGGGTGATGAAGCTCCCAACCCGCCCTCCACCCAGCACGACAGAGCCTGGTGTAGAGCAAGAGTGGGGCTGAGGCCCCGTCTGCGTCAAAAGGGGGGCTGTCGGAAGTGGGGTTGCCGCAGCCTCGCACCTGCTTGGGCAGCCAACATGAGGGCCGTGTCCCCTCCTTTGTCCTGCTGGTTCACATCGAGGAAAGGACAGTGGCTGAGCAGGGCCACCACACTCTGGAAGCCATGGTAGCATGCGACCATGAGGCCTGTCTGAGGGAGGGGCAGCTCAGATCCCCTGCTTTTCCCCAGGGGCTTCCCGGGGCCCCTCACGCCCTCTAAGCCCACATCTGTCCCGTGGCCTGCCCCAACCCCTGTGAAGGCCCACTGGCAACCATTCCCTTCCTCCTAAGGACTGCGGGGTGGGAGGCATTGCCCCTGAGCCCCTCTCAGGGAGCCAGGCCAGGACAGTGTGGTGGGGATGCAGAGATGCCCACGGCTGTCCTGGGACAACTTACCCTCCCATTGCTGTCCACCTGGGTGGCCTCCTCTGGGGAGACCCCACTATCCAGTATGGCTTGGAGCTGGGTGGGATCATTGTGCGCACAGGCCCAGTACAGGGCCCCCAGTCTGCAGCCGGGGACAGGAGTCTCTTTGCCTGGGCAGGGCAGTTCCTCAGACATGTCCAGCCTCTCCAGCTCAATGCCAGCTCTTTCTCTTCCAGACAAGAAGGTGGGTCCCTCCTCTCACGCAGCTGGCACGTAAAACACAGAATGAACAGGAGTAGTGAGTGTCTCCCTGGGTCCTAGGGAGGGGAGCCAGCCGCTGCAAAGTGCGCAGCCCTCGCCCCAGGGAAAACATTGACCCCGGCGGGGGTCTCGCCCCATCCACCCTGAGAGAGGACAAGCGCTGGGCCAGCAACTCTAGGTAGGCAGGGCTTAGGTCACTTTAGGTCAGCACCCCACTGAGACTCACGGGGAGAGGGTCTTCGTTTTTTCTTACGAGGGTTTCAGAGGCTCTGTATGAGGCAGTCAACGCGGGACACAGCCCGGGGCCAACAGCATCCCCCAGGCTCCGCGGAGCACACTCACCCGGTCTCCCAGTGCCCCGAGATGGACTATCCCTCCCCGGGACGCCACGCAGGTAACAGATGGCTGGACTTTCAGAAAGAGCTGCTGCAAACACCTCGGAGCTGAGCCGGATCAAGCCGCGGTAGGAAGGGATTTGAGGGCCAGGCGGGGTGGGTGCTCAAGTCTCAGGAGGGGACCCTGACCCACCCCAAGAGCCTCCGCGCGGGCGGGGCCTGAGCCGGGCAGCTCCTCCCCGCCCGAGCGGGCTCCCAAAGGCGACTCTTCCCGACCGAAGCGCCCACCCTCAGCCTTGGGGACAATGGCGGAGACAGAGCCTCGTGGGGTCTCGACCCAGCTCTTTAGACCCAGCCTAAAGCCCCTCCTCATTGGGTGGAGCACCACTTGATGAAGGGGTGGTGGGAGAGGGTGTGAGTGAATGAATACAGATATCTCATTCAATAGGGTTGGTACTCTCAGAATAACTCGGGGGTGGGGTCTCCAGGAGTCACCTGAACTTATTTTCTTGAGGTTCTGGGGAGACAGAAACATAATTGTCAAATTATGAGTACAGAGCTGGGCGCAGTGGCTCACGCCTGTCGTCCCAGCAACTCAGGAGGCTGAGGTGGAAGGATCGCTGGAGCCCGGAAAGTTGAGGCTGCAGTGAGCCGAGGTCAGACCACTGCATTCCACCCTGGGCAACAGGGCGAGACCACCTTAAAAAAACAAAAAAACAAAACAAAACAAAAAACACAAGAAAACTTGTGGCTGGGCGCGGTGGCTCATGCCTGTAATCTCAGCCCTTTGAGATTCCAAGAAGGGTGGATCACCTGAGGTCAGGAGTTCAAGACCAGCCTGCTTAACATGGCTAACCCCTGTCTCTACTAAAAATACAAAAATTACCTGGGCGTGGTGGCGGGCGACTGCAATCCCAGCTACTCGGGAGGCTGAGGCAGGAGAATCCCTTGAACACGGGAGGCAGAGGTTGCAGTGAGCAGAGATCGCCCATTGCACTCCAGCCTGGGCGACAGCGAAACCCCATCTCAGAAAACAAAACAAACAAACAAAATTGTGAGTACAGGCATTATGTGTCTAGTGCAGGGGGGCAGTCAGGGCACAGAGTGCGGCAGGCAGTAGTGAGGGAGGGATTGGTGCCAAATTATAACATATTAAATTTAATAGATTAGTTTCACGGTGATAAATATGAAATATTTAAATTAAATGATTTGTTAATATAATGATAAATTGTTATCAAAATATTCTTTAATATTTATGTTACATATTAAGCTCGATGGATTGGTTTTGGACCTCAGGTGTAGGAAACTGAGCCAACGCTATTCCTCCATTGGTATCTCTCCCATCATCAGACTATACAAGACCTCTCCTTTGTTTTGTTTTATTTAGTTTCTCTCTTTCACCCTTAATCCCCACATCCCATTCTCCTCCACCCTTTACCAACTGGCTCTTGTACATCCTTGAAAATGCATTTCATTGAAATATAGTATTGATTTGTGTATGTGTTTTTTCGTTTTTCTTTTTAAAGGCAGGGTCTTACTCTGTCACCTGGGCTGGAGTGGAGTGGCATGATCATAGCTTATTGCAGCCTCAAACTCCTGGGCTTAAGCGATTCTCCCACCTCAGCCTCCCGAGAAGCTCATAGCGGTGTGCCACTACTTCTGCCTAATTTTTTTTATGCAGAGATGGTTGTCTCACTTTGTTGCCCAGGCTGGTCTTGAACTCCTTGATCCTCCTGTCTTGGCCTCCCAAATTGCTGGGATTGCAGGCATGAGCCAGCATGCCCTGCTTGTATGCGTCATGTGTTTTTAACTAACATGTTATGAATTGTGCTACAGAACTTACTCTGTTAGTGTTTTCTTTTTCACTTAATACTGTTTTTTGTTTGTTTGTTTGTTTGTTTTTGAGATGGAGTCTCGTTCCCATCGTGCAGGCTGGAATACGGGGAGGGGGGGGTTTGGCTCACTGCAACCTCCGTTTACCAGATTCAAACGATTCTCCTTCTCAGCCTCCCGAGTAGCTGGGATTACAGGCGTGCACCACCACCGCCTAGCTAACTTTTTTTGTATATTTAGTGGAGACCAGGTTTCACCATGTTGGCCAGGCTGGTCTTGAACTCCTGACCTAAGGTCAGGAGTTCCATCCACCTCAGCCTCCCAAAATGCTAGGATTACAGGTGTGAGGCACCACGCCTGGCCAATACTGTTTGTTTGTTTTTCCAGAACATTTGAGTTCAAAATACTGTGTTTTTAAGATCCATCCTTGTTGCTTTATGTGTAGTGTAGCAGTTGGGTGTATGTTTGGTTGTAAGTAATCGAAAGCTGACTTCAGTGGTGCGTAGTCTATAATAGATGGACAGCTCAATATTAACCTAAAACTCCTTTCAGTGTTTCTTCTGAGCTGCAGAAGCCGGAAAGTTAAAACAACACTTCCCAGATTCCCTTAAGCTATGCCTCTGTGGTTTGGGTTCTGCTCTTGTGCAAGATATAAATTTGGAACAGAGCGACATAGCATGGGACATCCGTTTTGCTCTCACAGGTCATGGCAGCAGCAGTGAGGCTCTGGTGAGCAGTTTCCTGATTCACCAGCTTCCTGTAGTAGTGACCGTTGTTTTCTCAATCACAGGCAGAGGTCATGTGACTCTTGAAGCGGGGTGGGGTAGGGGGATTGTTCCTGGACCTAAGCCTGCTTCTCCATCCCTTTCTGTTTAATCAGATTTATTTTTGTTGTCAGCAATTGAACGCTGACACATGTAGCTTAAACAAAGAGAAGCTTGCTATTTTATACATAAGAGGTTCAGGAATAGGAAACGGTTGGTGTTGGTTAAGAAACTTGATGATGGGCCGGGTGCGGTGGCTCACGCCTGTAATCCCAGCACTTTGGGAGGCCAAGGCGGGTGGATCACTTGAGGTCAGGTGTTCGAAACCAGCCTGTCTAACATGGCGAAACCCCGTCTCTATTAAAAAAAAAAAAAAAAAATTAAAAAAGAAAAAGAAAAAGAAAAAAAAGGAAAAGAAACTTGATGATGTCAGGGCCTTCTCTGGGATTCTCTTGACTTTTCCTCCTAGGCACAAGATGGCTGCTAAACCTCTAGCCATCACAGCAAAATGTGGTAGATGCACACTATGGAATTCTATGCAGCAGTTAGAAAAAAATCTAACAGATGATAAGCCAGACATCTCTGATCATCTAACACAATCCCTGTTAGATAATCACCTTCAAGTTTGGTGTAACCATGTAATGCAATTTTGGCCAATAAAATGCAAACGGGGCTGGGTGTGGTGGCTGATGCCTATAACCCCAGCACTTTGGGAGGCCAAGGTGGGCGGATCACCTAAGGTCAGGAGTTCAAGACCTGTCTGGTCAACACAGTGAAACCCCGTCTCTACTACAAATACAAAAAATTAGCCAGGCATGGTGGCGGGCACCTGTAATCCCAGCTACTCGGGAGGCTGAGGCAGGAGAATCACTTGAACCCAGGAGGCAGAGGCTGCAGTAAGTGGAGATCATGCCATTGCACTCCAGCCTAGGTGACAGTGTGAGATGCTGTCTCAAAATAAATAAATAAATATAAAATGCAAACAGAAGTCTATGAATAGGGATTCTAGGAGAAAGCTCATGCTATCTCGATAAAAGATGTGGAGTGTGTCATTTTACTTCTTTCTTTCTTCCCTCCTCTTCCTGCTTATAGACTTCCATAGTGTACATCTACCTCATTTAACCTATCCCTTCTTCCTGAGATAGATACTTAGGTTGCTTCCAACTTCCTGTCACTATAAATAATGCCAAAGTGAACACTCTCATACGAATCTAGCTGTGAACCAATTGGGGTCTCTAAGATCATGAGATCACAGGCACATACACACTTACTGAGTGGATACTCTCAGATTGCTCTCTGTTTCACCATGTGTGCCCACCAGCAGTGCGTTAAGAGTCTCCCTACATCTTAGACAACACTTGTCATTATTCAGCCTTCTAATGTTTGTCAATCTGATAGAACTATAAAGTGACATTGCTATTTTACATTGGATTTTTCTGATTATCAACAAGGTGAGCGTGTCTCCACATGCCCTGCTGAATTGAGTTTTCCCTCCTGTGAATTACCCATTCATGGTCTTTGCCCAGTATTCTGTTGAATTTTCCTATACTTTTCTTACTGATTTTTCAGAAAGTCCCTTTGTTACTCTAGATAATAAACTCATTGTCAGATGGGTTATAGATGAGGCAACCGTATTATATAAACCTTTCTGTTAGCTTTATCTATAGTGGCCTTCGTTGAAATAACTCCTGAATTTCAATATGGTTAAATTCATCAGAATTTCTTCTTATACTTTGTGCTTTAGGGTTTTGTTTAATAAGAATTTTCTACTCTAAGATCATAAAGAGATCTTCATTTCTTTTATTACTCTTGCAGTTTTTTTTTTTTTTTTTTTTTTTTTTGAGACGGAGTTTCGCTCTTGTTACCCAGGCTGGAGTGCAATGGCGCGATCTCGGCTCACCGCAACCTCCGCCTCCTGGGCTCAGGCAATTCTCCTGCCTCAGCCTCCTAAGTAGCTGGGATTACAGGCACACGCCACCATGCCCAGCTAATTTTTTGCACCTTTAGTAGAGACGGGGTTTCACCATGTTGACCAGGATGGTCTCGATCTCTCGATCTCGTGATCCACCCGCCTCGGCCTCCCAAAGTGCTGGGATTACAGGCTTGAGCCACCGCGCCCGGCCAGCAGTATTTTTTTTTTTTTTCTTTTTTCTTTTCTTTTTTTTTTTTTGAGACGGAGTTTCGCTCTTGTTACCCAGGCTGGAGTGCCAATGGCGCGATCTCGGCTCACCGCAACCTCCGCCTCCTGGGTTCAGGCAATTCTCCTGTCTCAGCCTCCTGAGTAGCTGGGATTACAGGCACGTGCCACCATGCCCAGCTAATTTTTTGTATTTTTAGTAGAGACGGGGTTTCACCTTGTTGACCAAGGTTGGTCTCCATCTCTTGACCTTGTGATCAACCCGCCTCGGCCTCCCAAAGTGCTGGGATTACAGGCTTGAGCCACCGTGCCCGGCCACTTTTTTTCTTTTTTTTCCCCTCCCCCGCCCGCCCTCGCCGCGGTTCCCAAGGCGACACTGCCCCACAGTTTTGTTTTTAATAGTTAGTCTTTAATTCATCTGGAATTCACTTTTATAATATTGAAGAAATAATCTGTTATAGACTAAATTATATCTCCCCCAACCAACTCCAATTCATATTTTGAAGCCCTAACTCCAAAAATCACTGTTT